CCCCAAAACCCCAAAACCCCAAAACCCCAAAACCCCAAAACCCCATATATTTTCTTTAATATTGCGAATATAATTATAAATGTCTAGTAGAGCCTCTATTATTCAGCTGAGCAAATCTTCCTTCGTAAAACTGCCTGTTATTGACAAAAGTCAGAACTCAAGGCTCATGCTTGAGAAGTTCGGCATGAAGAAACGCAGTGTCAGCAAGACCAAGGTGTATGACAATGGTAGGAATATATTTATAGGGATGAGATGGGCTTGATTGCAAAATGAGCTGAGTTGTTAGGTTCACCTCAATACTTAAAATAATAGATGCCATACAAACTTGATAATTAATTATAATTACGCCATATTGGCTTCAAGAAGCCCATGCATCCATCCAGCTCCTGTGGAGGTATTACTCTCCTACCGTATGATTGAAAATCATGAAACTTTATTTATGTTATTTTTACTTCAGTACAGAGAAAACTTAGTTAAATATTGCTACATTCTTCATAATTCTGGAGTTATTTAGAGTCTCTCAAGTAGTTAGAGCTCCATAAAATTCGACACAGCTGCTCCTCTACAAGAAGGAGCAGGCTTATTCTCGCAATCCTTGGACTTGGATAACTTTGTTTTGTCTTTATCAGGCAGATTGTTCATTAGCAGATTCATTCTGAAGTTTTAATATATAATATATACAAAGAAGACAGCTTCCTAATTAATTTCAAAATTTAGATGGAACTCATTGAAATAGTTACTATGGAACTCCTCAGAAAATTAATAATCAGTAGGTGATCTGTGGGCAACGTTTAACAGTATTTTAGGAAACAAATGCACCGAACTGTTGAGAAGTATATAGATCGATCAGACAAAGGTGTAGTTAAATATCGAGCCAAGGATGATACCTCTAATGCTCATAATACTCGTTGTAGCATTTGTTGGTAAAAATCAAGCTTCTTGCTGATCACTTTGATCCAAATTTCAGAGACTCATCCCAAACAACAATAAAGCGAATTTGCCAATAAAAATCAAAGGTAAAATCATCCTGAATAGAAAGCTGGGGAGGCCAGCAAATAAGCTTTCAGAAGACGAAAGTGAGGAAGAAGAGAAGGTATTTACGATAAATACCTGTCATGCCAAGGGCGAGAAGAACACACTCAAGGAGGTAATCAAGCTAGAGGGGTATAAGGAGACCAAATCTAGTGGTGAAGGCAACTTGCTTTGGTACTACTCTGCATTGAGGGAGATTGACCTTAAGATCCTCAGTATTCGTCAATGCATGTTTAACAGGTACCCTCGTGCAAGTACTATCTGACGGAAGAGGCAATTTCATATTTTACTAAAGAAGTACCAGAGATACTTTCCTGAGGACTACGACTTCATCCCAAGGACTTATTGTCTCCCTGATGAATATAAGAGTTTCAAGAAGCGTTTTGAGAAAAAGAATGACTCCTTTTTCCTGGCTAAGCCATCGAAAGGCAAAGGTGGTGATGGCATCTTCTTCATTAACAAGTCTACAGCGATTTCAAAGGAAGATATGAAGCAGAACGAGTATATCGCTCAAGAATATATCAAGAATCCTTTGCTAATTGATAAGAAGAAATTCGACTTCAGGCTCTACCTCCTTATCAAAGGGGTTGACACTATGAAGGCTTACATTGCTTTTGAAGGCCTTGCTAGGTTTTGTACTGAGGACTATACCAAGCCTAAGAAGTCTAAGAAGGAAGAGGGTGAAGATGATGCTCCACTGTATAAACATCTCACAAATTTCTCATTAAATAAGAAAAATGAAAATTATGTATGAAACAACGATTTCGAGAACAATGAAAATGAAGGGAACAAGCGGCTGCTTTCCACTATTTTCAGGCACCTAGAGAACGAAGGGGTTGATGTTGATGAGATCAAAGACGATATCAGGGACATTTGCTCTAAACTGGTCCTCGCACTTCAACCTTTCTTGGTAAATACATTCCATACAGATATGGGTGTAGGGGAAGAAACCAACCAGAACTGTTTCCACATTTTTGGCCTAGACATTCTCTTGGATGAAAATTATAAGTCATGGGTGATGGAGATCAACTGATTTCCAAGCTTTAATTACTTCTTTGACAAGACAGTGATGGATTCTGAAACTGGGAAGTCGAAATAGCATCAAAATCGTCTCAGATTTGGACAAATACCTCAAGCCCATAGTTGTAAGAGAAGCTATTACAATTGTTAGGGATGGGAAGATCCCTAAAGACTCGGTATTTGACCAAGTCTTTCCGCCTCAGGACTATCCCGAGGATTACCGAGACTTCACTATCTTCAATGAAATTAGGCTTTTGTTTGAGATTCTAGCAGGATTCAGGAAGCCGGACATTCTCACCCTCGCACAATTCCAAAAGATCTGTTACTTTCCAGGCATGAAGACTGAAACTTTGGGGAAGCCAGAATATGCTATAATATTCTCCCAGTTTGCTAAGAGGGGAAACAAGTCGTTTATGACATTGGACAACTTTGGAAATGCGCTAGAGCACTTGTCCAAGGTGCTCAAGATCGGAAAGGATGCTAACCCAAGACCTCTGGTCCGAAAGCTGCTGAAATATGCCCAGTCAAAGGCATGTTTCTAACCTTGGCTTCTTGAGCAGTTCAATAAATTCAGCACTTTTCGGGGTTTTGGGGTTTTGGGGTTTTGGGGTTTTGGGGTTTTGGGG